CCGATAGTACTCAAGAAGAATATTGCTGCAGCAACATCGCTAACATGTGGCGCTACCTCTTGCTCGGTATCTAGTAGCAGACCAGTGGTCAACCTAAAATTCAGAGATTGCACTGCCATTGAAGCATGCTCTGTCCGTAAAAATGATAAAACAATACGTGTAGGAAAATATAACAGAAACAGTGTCACGCGTCACGGAATAAAAACTACCTGTTGAGGCATTGCAACGCTAGCAAGAAAAGATGTAACTTCCGATAAATTCAGGAGACAACAAAATTCTTTTTTATTTCATTCCCAAACTGCATGCTGCTGCAGACATAAACTAAAGTGACAAAGCTTACTGCAGATGCGTGTTGCTTGTCGTGTCAATTGTCCAACGATAAAAGATGTGCTTGTCGGCAAATTGCAGTTCGTTGTTCACTGAAATTTTTTGCATATCTTTCAGCTTAGTTCGCTGTTACTACAACATAGTTCTTAGATACCCCGCAGTTCAGTAGCAGAGGCATAGTGATTGTACCTCGTCTGTTTATGTACGTTAGTGTCAGCGCGTCCAGTCAATTTCTACAGTTTTGGACGATTCAATTACGGAGATGAAAATCACGAAACTTGAACAGTCCTTTTCGAGCATCATACGAGTGGTTGTTTAACTTTTCCGCCAGTACCACTCACTAATGCGCGCCGTCCGTCGGTTTTCGGCAAAGTGAGCAACATTTCCTGCCCGTCAGATTTTACTTTCTCTTATGGTGGTAATGATCTCCTGCATCCCGCTTATTTAAAATGAATCTGACTGTTTATGGGTCGCCAAGAGAATACACAAATTTGGGGCTGGAACAAATAATGCCAGAATATGTTTCTGTGGCATGAACGAGATGAAGAGGCGCTCTTTCTCTCCCATCTTCCTTTGTCTGTTTACATTAATGCAGCGGATCGTGCATAGTCCAGAAATTCAAATATCTGTCCCGAAATTGAAGCACTGCCTATTTATTAAAAATTTAAATGTGTAATTATTCATGAACCATGGGCGATGATTCCGTTCTCAAGCAGCGCTTGCCACATACCAACCACTTGAAATCGACTCAGCGGTGCTGTTTTCGCCGATTCTAGCATCTCGCTAGCAATTTTACTTAACCAGTCGACCATTTCGGTCCCAATCATACACGAAGAAAAAGACTGAAATTTACAACTCATTCGTTCGCAGGCCCTCAAGCACGAAGCACATAAGTATTCGATTAATGACTAAATGAGCAATGAAGCACGGCAGAAAAGTATATTAAAGAACCGAGTATTTTCGAGTTTCGAATCTTCGATTTTCTCGCGGTGGAGCTACGCATTTAATTATGTTTAGCTCTTCTGACCAGACGCACGCTTTCAGCTTGGAGATACAGCA